TCGGCAGCCAGGTAAAACTTGTTATGTTGCTCATTTTTACGTTTGATCTGCAGTATGATTCAAGCTGGGGAAGTAACAGAGCTTTCATTTTGTAATAGCAAAATAGATTATTACGCTACGTAGCGACTGGAGCAGCCCAGCATATTATGTAACGTACAAAACAAAGTCAAGTATTCTCAGTAACATACACTTTCTTACTATTGTTTACAGTAACAAGGCTGTTACAAGTGTCTACAATGACGTGAAGGTATGTTTTTTCCCCCTAAACTTACACAATTACTGACTTTTAAGGGCTGTATAACTTAAAGTAATCTTGTATAACAAAATGAAAGTAACTCGATTTTTATCATACTTATTTGCTACATCCCACACCGCAGCCTATACACCTAACAGTTAGTCACCCTAATAGTTTGCGGGGTTGTATTAGACACGTTTAATGCTCACAGTGGTTTAAAGACTGAATCTTTAATATAGGAATACTATGGAAAGACACTGAAGAATACATCTGACCTGAAAAGCAATGCCTGTGTTCCGTCTGCCAAGCCTGTCCCTGCATACGTGAGGAAAGTGATAGCTGAGATCCATCCAGATGTCGTTGCAAAGTGAGGTTTGCTTCGATGAATGTTGTGATGATTTAGTTAAAACATACATATGCAAGATGTCTTTGAGGTAAAACAAAGTAACATGGAACATAAGCTCACAAACCATACAAGCCCACTTGTAGTTTCAGTAGTTTCAGTCAAGAAAGACAAGAAAGAAAGACAAGTGATATATTGAAATTAGAATCAAATGCAGTTTGATTTAATTTATTTCCTTGGTATATTTATGTATTTGGAAAAAAAATTATGGGAACTGTAAGTTAGAGAAGGGTTTTATGCTCACCAAGGCTGATTACAATAAAAACAGTAATATTGTGAAATATTATTTATAATATTAGCAATATATTATAATTATATATTAGTAATATATTGTAAAATGTCATTTATTCCTTTGATGCAGCGCTGAATATTCAGCAGCCACTACTCCAGTTTTCAGTGTCACA